ATATTCAGTTGTTTTAATCATAAAATGGATTTCTATTTGACAACTAGTGCCAGTACTTTTCCGCGTATCAAGATCACCTGGCCATATCAAAGAACATCAGAGCGATTTCTATATAAAGTTTTGATAATATTTATTAATAAAAGTGTCTGATCAGCAGGCAAGCAGTTGCAGCTCGGTGAATCAAAGACAAAGCCGTCAAAGACAAAGAGAAACAAAAAATGGAAAGAAACCTTTTGAATGCGATGTTTGTAAGAAGAGATATAACAGATTAGATCATTTAGTTATACATAAGAGAACACACACTGGAGACATGCCTTATGAATGTGATGTTTGTAAGAAGAAATTTCACAATCAGGTAATTTAGCATCACATAAACGAACGCATAGTGAAGACAAGCCTCATGAATGTGATGTTTGTAAGAAGAGATTTAAAAGATCAGATTATTTGATAAAACATAAGAGAACACACACCGGAGTCAAACCTTATAAATGTGATGTTTGTAAGAAGGGGTTTACACAATCGGGTCATTTAGCTTTTCATAAAAGAACACACACTTATGAATGTGATGTTTGTAAGAAGAAATTTGTAAAATTAAATGGTTTAGCAAGCCATAAAAAAACACACACTGGAGACAAGCCTCATGAATGTGATGTTTGTAAGAAGAGATTTATACTATCATGTACTTTAGCAAGGCACAAAAAGCAGCATTTGTTTTGCAATAGTTGCCGCAAGGAGATTATTGAACCACAAGATTGTCAAGGACACTTTATCGAGGATCAACGCATTATTAGAAAATACGCTTGTCAGAAATGTAACAAACGATTTTCTAATTTTATGAAGTTGGTTCAACATATAGCAAGACAACATAGCAATGATGGGATCTATCAATGTGCTTTATGTCAAGAATTTAAATCAAAAGAACCAACTGGTGTTGGATATGTTTGTTGTGTTTGTGATGTTGTGTTTGATGTTCCCAGAGATCTTGAAGATCACATGGTCACCCATGATTCAATCTGAATATTTTTTGTGGTTCAAGTCTTTAAAATCCTGGCTAATAATAATTTGGGTATGGCCAATACTGTTTTACTCTACTGAGGCTCCAGCTATTAATTGATGAGTGAAGCGATTATGCAAAGAATGGAAGGTTGCATGTTTTAAGGGCACTGTGAGTTGAGTGGTGGGCAACGGCTTGCAAGGTTTTTCTATTTCGTATATTGTCTGAGTGCAAGACTGGGCTAAAAATGTCAGCTTGTCATGACTGCAAGTACCGGCGAATTACAGACGGCCGTTCAAGTTTAAAGGTTGTTTAATACGCCTGTTGGGCCAATAAAATTGAATCATTTGAAAATATGAAAAATATCGATGGTAGAAGCAAGAGCGTACTTTTATTCTATTGTTGTGATTCCAGATACTGTAGTGTACAATATATTATAATTGGTGTAGCTGAATTTAGGGATTTGGAGCATGAAATGGTACAAATGTCATTGGATTTAAACAAAACATGTATTACGTAATGAATAATACCGTTGTACGATTCAAACGATACAGTTTCCTTGGCGTGTCGTGATAATCAGTCCAGGGTGCAGAAAAAAGTTTTGTCCGTTAAACGTAACTTTGGGAAAGTTTTTTTGACCGATCAAAGTCCTAAATAGTGTTTTAGAATAAATAGTGTTTTTTTCCAACGTGTTTCTCCTTAGATGCAAACAACGGTAGCTAATTTGTACATTTCATTTCCGATCCGGCGAATGAACACTGAGAAATACATCCGATGGCACTTCGTTTTGTATATTTTACACACCCAATATGAATGAAACGCGATACTTTTTGAGAAAATAGTTAATGGGAAAAGGTAAATAAAAGTTCTTTGATATAATAATATAAAATCAAACGCATTGCACTTTAATTCTCATCAGAAAAAATGAAAATCTTCCAGTAGACCCAGTTGGGAAAGCCCCTTATCTACTTCAATTGGGAAGAGTCCGTCAAACGGACAGTATATGGGCTAGCTAACACCCTGATGCGATACCGGAGGTACGCCAATATCATTGTCTGTACGTCTTTCAAGCAGTTCAAAACTTTACCTGCAGAATTATCAGCGAAACAAAGAAATACGATCATGTGACTCCTGTCCTCAAAACCTTAAATTGGCTGCCAATGAGAGACTTATTATATTATCGTCGGGCCATCATGTCAGACAAATGTATGACTGGTTGTGCACCAAGCTACCTGACCAACCAATTTACGACGCGCGCTCAGACGTCTCGAAGCGATCCACTAGAAATTCCGGCGCAGAATATTGACATTCCTCTATTTAAAAGTACGACTGGGCAACGAACATTTAATTATCAAGCTGTTAGCCTCTGGAATTCGTTGAACAATGATGTAAAACTTTGTACTTCTATTTCAGGATTTAAACGTAGTCCTAAGAAACAACTCTGGCACGAATTTCTCAGTCACTAGCTATTGGGCGTAAAAAAAATACCTGTGGTTCCGGTTTCATATCGTGAAAAAATTAGGGTCGGTAGGTCGGAAATCAATTTTTTTTTTGAATATTGTTTTCATGGTTTTGGCGGTTTTCTGCTGGGCGATTTGCAGTAGAGTCCCGACATCAATATTAATTGTTATTAATAATTAATAATAATTAATATAATTATTATATTAATTATATTTTTTATTAATTATTATTAATTATTATTATTTTATTATTAATTATTGAGATGCGTATTTCCTATGGACGAATTTAGGCAATTTGGTTCAATAATTAGTGTGACAACAGACGCCATTTTGGCACGCTGTATGAGCAGCCCGCAACCACCTGGAGAAAATAGGGTCGCACGGTCAATCGCGTTGAAAAAAATAATAGGGTCGGCAGAAAAAAATAGGGTCGGTCGGGAACCGGAATCACAGGTATTTTTTTTAAGCCTTGATGGAAAATAGGTCACTCCGCTCCAGGCGACCTAAGTTGGGAGAACAGGGACACGTACTCACCCGCATGCCTACAACACTCGCAAAGTGTACAATGTGAAAAGAGATATTGCACTTCCCTACTTAAAATTTTCTTGCTTTAGAACTTAGAATTAATTTTATTTGTTAATTATCTCTGAAAAAGCCCCATTGGGGACGAGTTAATAAATTTGTATTGCATTGTCTTTGTTTTCAGCCACGTATCACGTTGACGCAGCACTCTTGCTATCTGCGTACTTAACTTTTTGGCACCATATGACCTTTCCAAGCCCAAGGTATTCAATACCGTAACTTAATTTCTAATGCATGTGCGGCATAAGCTGTTGGCAGGTGACCTCGCACGTCAATTGCACTTCTCCAGATGGTTCAACGAACGCTGTCGCCGGGAGAACTTTCTGCGTAGTTTGGTGATTGGAGACGAAGTATCATTTGCCATGAACGGCGAAGTGAATCAGTGGCGTGCTGGGTACTATTCAGCTGGAGGGGCCAGTGGGCTGTCAGCCAATATGCGCCCCTATAATGTTACACTTGATAAACGAGGGCCGAAGGCACGATCCAAGTGCCGCAGGTGCGAGGTTTGTCTAGGGGGGTCCGGGGGCATGCCCCCCAGGAAAATTTTTGAATTTAGAGTCTCTGAAATGCCATTTCCTGGACTTTGGGGGGAAGATTTGACAGAAATCTGATGGTCAGGAAACGGCATTATAACGTGTCGAAATTTGCAATTTGGTTAGAATTTAGTAGTAGTACTTAAATTATGCAATGCTAACTACTTCCAGCGATTAATCTAATCCCAATTCTGTTCTCTACTGATCTACTGTTCTGAGCACATTGACAACTTAAAGCTCTTTTATACAATAACACAAGCACCCCACGCACATGTATTTTAAGGTTTCTTTGCCTGGCAGCCAAAAGGGCATGTTTCAGCATTATTTCATTACTTACATTACTCATGCTTCTTGTGCAAACAACTAAATTGCGTACACAACTTTACATCAGTTATCATAACTTCAACTATCTAATTTGCGCCGCTCTCGTGACTCGTGAAGCATAATAAAGGGCATAATATAAGGGCATAATACCAGAAAAAAGGGCATAATTCTCGTGATCGCTTCGATTGAAACCTGACCAATATTCCGGTAATGAGACATTGCCTGTGATCACTGATCATGTTTCTATATGAACGATTTCGTGTGAGCTGTGAGGTAGCAAATACGGTTAGGCAAAATAGTCTGTAATTTAATATATGTCGCCAATGCGCTTAGTCTGTTTTATACTGTAGCCTATAAACACGTCTTTCCTTGGCGGAAGTAACCATATTTTTTCGAGAATGCGTTTTTTCCCACCCACTTTCAAAATTCGGCGCCCCTTTTTCATTTTTGCGCCCCCCAAGAATTGCCAGCTGGGGGGGGGCGTGGCCCCCCGGCCCCCCCTGCCAGCACGCCACTGAAGTGAATACGCAAAATGTACGGCAATATGCACCAAAAGGAGACCCACCTTCTTTTCATTTTGATAGGAGAGATTCTCGCGTAAGTTTGACGTTTGGGGCAGAACTTTGTGGTAATGGTTTAATACTTGGTCCTTACTTTTTTGACGGGAATGTGAACGGAGTTGCCTATCTTCGAATGTTCAATGAATTTGTCATTCCGCAACTCGCTGAACACTTCAACAACCAATATTGGGAGGGAAAGTTTATTAATCTTTGGTGGATTCAAGATGGTGCTCCTGCTCATCGCCTTATTGCAGTTCGAGATCGCCTTAAGAGGGTCTTAATGGGGATCTTTGGGTGTCCGTTGTCAGCTACAATTTAAGCCAGTTGTCAGTGCGATATATTGCAAGCTGTCAGTGGTCAGTTACTGCAATATGCTGACTCATCATTTTTCCATCGTTTCTCAGTTGTCAGTTAGGATATTTTGTCAGTTGTCAGTCAAAAATTCAGGCAAATGCCAGTAGTCAGTTAACCCCATTCAGACCCTCTCTTAACGATGTGTTTGGCAATCACCGCATCATAGGATTAGGTCATGATGTTGAATGGCCATGCATCGCGCTCACCTGATTTGAATATCACCGCCAGGAACCTTGTCCTCAGCGTCAGGAACCTTGTCCTCACCGCCAAGAACCTTGTCCTCACCGCCAGGAACCCTGTCCTCAGCGTCAGGAACCTTGTCCTCACCGCCAGGAACCTTGTCCTCACCGCCAGGAACCTTGTCCTCACCGCCAGAAAACTTGTCCTCACCGCCAGGGAACCGCGCTGCACCACGGTTAAAATTCACTGGTACCGTCATGCAATGCGGTACCTTGTCCTCACCGCCAGGAACCTTGTCCTCACCGCCAGGAACCTTGTCCTCAGCGTCAGGAACCTTGTCCTCACCGCCAAGAACCTTGTCCTCACCGCCAGGAACCCTGTCCTCAGCGTCAGGAACCTTGTCCTCACCGCCAGGAACCTTGTCCTCACCGCCAGGAACCTTGTCCTCACCGCCAGAAAACTTGTCCTCACCGCCAGGAACCGCGCTGCACCACGGTTAAAATTCACTGGTACCGTCATGCAATGCGCCAAATAGAAAATTTTGATTTCGACCCACAAAACAAAATTAGGATCTGCTGCCTTGCTCGCTCGCTTCAGGCTCGCTCGCTGCGGCAGCAATGAGAAGTCCGACTGTCTACGGAAAAAAATTTGCTACGACGACTGCTGTTATTACAATGAAATTAACAATATTGTACAAAAGAGATGAATAATAAAAAGCCCATGGGTAGATGTCGTCCTCGCTCTGTTTCCAACGCAAAACCTCGGATTGTCACGTCTTGTTTACAACGCCAGTGGCCGCGTTGTAGTCATAACCTTCAAATTTTAAAAATAAACGTTGAAGCCACGCCTTAGAAACGTCGAAAATCTGCCTAGAAACGTCATGGTACAACTGTTGAAACTAACGCGACAACTATTTGCATTAAACGGTCTACCTGAATCCGCAGTAACATCCGTCAAGGTGATCGCTAGATAGTATACTTCAAAATAAGGTTTCCGCTTTTATAACGTAGAAAAAACTATCCGGCTAACGCAAAACTAAACCCTAACCCTAATACTCACCTAACCTAACCTAACCTAACCTAAACCCTAACCTAACCCTAACTTATTTTAAAATTTGATATAAAAAGTATTTAAACGGAAAACTTATTTTGAAGTATACTATCTAGCAACCACCTTTCCGACTCTCAAAACACGTGGCATTCCACGTGTATCAAATAACAAGGACTCGGACAAACAAACTCGGAAGAGACTATAATTTAATATATCGCGGGTGACATATCCAGGGTGCGATAATTCAATATTTTTAGCCGTACCTGACTGGTACTCCGACAACTTTTGCCGCGTATCTGGTCTGGTACAAATTTAAGAGTCAAGACGTACCTGCGGTTCCGGTTTCATATCGCGAAAAAATTAGGGTAGGTAGGTCGGAAACAAAAATTTTTTGAATATTTTTTCATGGTTTGGGCGGGTTTTTTCTGGGCGATTTTCAGTTGAGTCCCGATTTTCAGTAGTCCTGATTTTCAGTAGAGTCCCGATTTTCAGTAGAGTCCCGAGCATTGACAATTAAGCCCAGGTCACACCACACAACGACAACGATACGATAACTTGTAAAAAAAATGTTAGTGTCCACACTACAATGAAAACAATAAAATTATCGTTTGACGATAACGATTTTAAAATCGCTCACCCGAGCGATTTTTTTTCAGTCGGACGATGACGATAAATTTTTTGATGAAGCGCAAAGATAACCTTTTGGCTTCTTTCATTCCAAAATATGTCGGATGCGTGGAATATACATGTACAGCTAAAGTTCTTCACGGTTTTGAATACTTTGGCAGGTTTGCTAGTTATTGCTAGAAGGAAAATGTAAGTACGCGAATAGCAAATTTCCGCGTACCTACGTGGTACTTGCCTAAAAACAAAGAAGTACCAGACCATAAATTTGGCGTACCTCCGGTACGTTGGTACGCGAATTATCGCACCCTGACATATCGCGTTGTTTAATGAGGTTACATAGTAACCAAGGTTAATATCATAGGAGCCGCGCACAGTCTGGGTACGACATGTGCCCTCAGGATATCGGATGTAGAGAGTGCCAAGCAGACTCTCAGGTCATTAGCTAATTCGTAGCCAACTGCAATGGTAGATTTTGTAGATTTCGCCATAGATGCGATCGAAACGGATGCGGCGGCGCGCACCGCAGAATACAGTGCTCAGAATTCGCGCTGAAACGAGGCCTCAAGCTGTAGGCGACAGGCGAAAAGCAATTAGAAGAGACGATGTAGCTGATCACAATATTTTTTCCTGTTTAGTCGTTCAAAACAATTTTAATCGTTTTGACGTGTCTTTAATTACCGCATTAAAGGTGATCTACAGTCCGATCTGCGCATGTGCATAAAGGAGCCCACTTTTTATGATACAAACAGTTTAACTATGTTTTGGGTTCTTGAAAAGCCTGATCATTGTTTCTTGATCATTTATTATACTCTCGAAGCTTGAAAATATAAATAGTTGTCGAATGAAAGCTCAATATTTTGGACACAAAAATGTAAACAAAGGCTTTGTTTACATACGGACTGTAGATCACCTTTAATGTAGACAATTTGACATTACAATTATGCAGTCATCCGGAGCGACAAAAAGTTGACTTTTGTTCTAAGTGGTTTACGTCAGATGTTTCGGCCTGGGTTGCGCTCAAGGCAAAATTCCCTCTGCGCTCAAACGCAAACGAAGTATCATTAGGCCGGGTATCATTGGGCCTACTGCAATACCACCATTAGAAAGTTTATAGGTCAGGCGTTGTGTCGTGATTCCTAATTTATCCGTCCCCTTTGGGCACAGCGTAAATGATGGGGTTAATATCCGAGGCTATTTCACTAGTTATTAAAGCCGGACATGCTGCGTTAATGGGTAAATTGGATATTAAAAGCGCTTACCGTATTTACTCGATTGAAACTTTTTTTAAAGAGCGCCGCCCCCGATTGAGCGCCGCCCTCGAATGAGCGCCGCATCTGAAAGCTCTGAAAATTTAAAGAGCGCCGCGGCGCTCAAACGAGTAAATACGGTATCGCATAAGTTCAGTGAATCCGTCAGCCCGTCATATCAAATTCTTTAAAAGAACGCCGCCCCCGAATGAGCGCCGCACTAAACAGTGTA